AGATCAGGGGTCTCCAACCTGTGACTCGGGAGCTACCATAGCTCGCCAGCCCCTTTCAGGTAGCTCCCTAATGGATTTAGAATTTAACACATGATCTTGAATAAACACAGCTTGAGTCATTACATATGTATCATAAGTATAAATATTGGCTTTTACAGTATTATTGCTCTGTTTTGTAGTAATTATTACATTGATTTTTTTATCACAACTGCAAAAAAAGGAGTAGCTCTCTGCCTCTGTTGTTGCATAAAAGTTTCTCTCCGATTGATAAAGGTTGGAGGCCCCTGGCATAGATGGAGAATAAAAAACTCCAAATAACACATCAAATTAGAATATTTTGAAAATATTTAAGCCATAATCTTACAAATATGTCAGTTTGAAGGGGATGAGTTAAATGTTTTGGTTTAAAATAATTTAATAAACGTTTGAATGATTTATGTTTGGAGTTTCCCCTTTAAGTCATTTTTATATTTTCTTCTAGATTTTCTATAGTCATGCTTGAGTTGTGCAACACGTTTAGAAAGTTTATATGAATGATTAAAAAGAAGAGACATCCCGTTCGGACTAAGAAAGTAATGCTTCTGCCTGAGAACAAGACAAAAGATACGTGTTCCATTGACTTCCATTAACATCTTTCGTCCCGTTTTTGTTTAACTAAAATGATTGAGTTGGGATTAATCTTAATCAAGCAATCTCAGGCAATCGGACACATCAAGACACAAGTTGGCTCCACATCCCTCGCACACATACAGTTCTTCACTTCCTTGTACAAGCAATTGTTCCTGCCCAGAATTATTCCACTCTGAGATATATGGCTTTTAATGAAAAGCTCATTTTGAACCTCAGTGATGTATTTGCTCCAGATGACTCCCGGAGCTTCTTTTAATATCAGCGGACAACCTCATGGGACGCCGCGCTCTCTCCATTTACCCGGGAATCAGTCTTCCCTAAATTTAGGTCACTGCCGATGTAACCAAAGCCCTGTCTGGAGTCCTATTACTTAAAGCACCTCGCCGATCGATGAACACATGTATTATTCAACAGAGTGGTGGCGTGGACTGGAGTTTACTCACAGTTGTTGCCAATGGCACTGGGGAAAAAAATAAAAAAAAGAACCCAAACATTGTCTTTAATCTCCTGAGCACTTCATGTTGATGTCGTCTTGTCTGGACCTAAACAAACGTGGCTTTCCTGTGGTCGTCTCTGAATGTGTGAAAATCTCTGCTTTTCCGGTGACCCAAGCTCAAAAGGGGTGTAACAAGCTGCAACTTTAGTCTATTGTTGAGCACAATCAGGCAAGGACTAGACACAATGATAATGCAGTAGTACTCTATGAACTCACTTAGGCAACATAAGATAAGAGACCCTTTAATCCGTTCCACACTGGGTAAATGTGTAATTGTTGCAGACATTACAGGACAGTTGTAAGAGCCCTTAGATGAGCACACATCAAACAAGATACAACTCTCATTCTAAACACACAATCTGAGCTGAGCAATACAATCTTTGCTATTTTTGCACTTGTGTCTCACTGATAACACTGGATTGCTCTAAATGTTGAAAAGAGTGAAAATGAACACGTATGGAGTGAAAATGAACATGTATGGAGTGAAAATGAACATGTATGGAGTGAAAATGAACATGTATGGAGTGAAAATGAACATGTATAGAGTGAAAATGAACATGTATAGAGTGAAAATGAACATGTATGGAGTGAAAATGAACATGTATGAAGTGAAAATGAACATGTATGGAGTGAAAATGAACACGTATGGAGGGAAAATGAACACGTATGGAGTGAAAATGAACACGTGTGAAGTGAAAATGAACACGTATGGAGTGACAATGAACATGTGAAGTGTCTTTGGTTTGTTATAGCGCTTTTTGGACACTCAAATTTTATTGTTTATTGTTTTGTATTGGTGATCAAGGTTGTCTTAGGGCATGTTGATAACAGACTACCTTCATGATTTGCAAAATAATGTAAAGTAAAAAGAAAAACCAATCAATTTTTATCCCAAAGCTCGGCATCTTGTGATTAATTATGAAGTCATAGCATTTTGGATGTTTCTTTTCACATACTTAAAAAACACAAACAATGTTACGCCCAACCATAAAAAAACAACTAATGGAATGATGATAGTTAAATATTTCTTTCATCTATCTTGAGTTAACAATGTCTTGCTCAACTAAGCCTGAAAGACGTGCATCCAGCAGACTCGCGTGTTCTGCTGCATTGACAGATACGTTTACAGTTAATTAGATCATCTTCACTCCATTCTGTAGATTGCCCAATCAATAATGCAATTTCCTCGGAGACAACTCTAGTGACACACAACAGTGAGTGGCAACTGTGACAGAATATACATAAATACTTACATACACACAGTTATCGCTTATAATACGATAATAATAATAATAATAATACATTTTATTTAAAAGCGCCTTTCTATACACCCAAGGACACTGTACAGGGCATAATAAAAAAACATTAAAAACAGGATCAACAGAATAAAACAGTAGTCAAAGGCAATACGGAATGGTGGGTGCGTGTGTGTTAGGTGGGGTGGGGTCTGAACAGATGGGTTTTGAGTCTAGATCCACAATAGAAACAAGTAATAAGTGTATTTTTACAGATTAACAAGTTTATTTCTGGGAAGGAATGAATTAAGGCATTTCAAAAAAATATCTAGCTCATATTCAAGTTCTTCCATGTAATTATTAATGAGTCAATTTCATATACATTGGCTTCAAAGAGAAAAGCTGAGGACTTGAACTTGTTTTCCCACTATTGCTGGCTATAAATTACATTACCTTATGTACAGTATATGACCATAGGCGCTGAATAATCCATACATTGTCAAAACCTATTAGATATCTCTCCCTCACTGTCTAATAAAGCGGAGGAGGCACTTTGTAATGTTGGCGTAGGAGACATTATTGACATGGCATTTTGGTGGCATTCTGAAGGTGCTTTGGGGACGGGCGATAGTGTTGTAACAGCCTCAAATCATACATCATCCTCTGCATCAGGCGCAGCACTAAACAGCTTTACTGAACTATGCTCAAGGTCCACGGAGGTGTCTAAATGAAGAGTAGGCACGGTATGAAAAATGAGAAGGGTCTAGACTTAGAAGAATGTTCAGGCTTTGGTGGATCAAACAGAAATGACAACCACTGGGTAATAATCATATGGGCCTAAAAATGGTATTTACTCAAGGAAATGTTGGTGGGATTCATTCTTTATTTGAAATACTTGAATTATTAACTTATTTTTTTGATAAGATCACTCGTTGAAACATGTGGGCAACTTTAAACAGTATTATTTGCTAATTTATAATCTCACTGTCATTAGTGACTAAATATTGGGACCATCATCTTCAGGATCACTGTTACGCATTTTTACCTGGACTCATAACTCTGACCCTAGTTCTCACCTTAACGCTATCCCTACTCCAACCCAAACCCATTGACAAGACTAATATTAGATCATCCAATGTGACATGCTGATATGTTTTTTTCTAATTATTGATGTGCTTTCGTATATGACATTGTTTGTTGTTCATCAGAATATTCTTAAATGTTAACTGTGTTTTCAATTAAGCTAAAACCAGTAGTAAGAGCCAGTGTTTCATGGACATTTTATTTAAGACAATAAATCAGCATATTTGTGGGGGAGGGCACTAAGAGGAGCGCCCTTAGAGCTCGCTGGGTTTTAGGACACGGAGACATCTTAGGCACATTTAAAGAAAGAAAACAAATGTTTGAATGGAACTTTTGGATTATCGTTGGTCTTAGGGGCGGCACGGTGGCTGAGTGGATAGCACGCTCGCCTCTCAGCAAGAAGGTCCTGGGTTCAAATCCCGGTCGGACCAGGGCCTTTCTGAGTGGAGTTTGCATGTTCTCCCCGTGTCTGCGTAGGTTTCCTCCGGGTACTCCGGTTTCCCCTACCACTAAAAATATGCACAATAGGTCTGGCATGCGCCTCCTGTTCGGCGACCCCACTCCCATCTCTGTCTGGAGTGAGAGGACAAGTGCCCAAAAAAATAATAACAATTGTAAACCGCTTTGTGACCCTTGTCTGTGAAAGGCGGTATATAAATAAACATTACTTACTACTTACTTACTTACTTCCGTCCTGGTCAAAATTGAATTATGCAACAAAATGGTGACTTTGTTTTAGTAAATGTTCAAACTATATGACATTCTGGGTTACTATCAACGCTTATCAGGGTATGAGCTTTATCCACATCCTTAAACCGATATGATCCAACAATATTTTCACGGTGCATGAGGTGTTTCTCGACCTGCCCAGCTGCCCTTTTGTTTACATTTTAGTTTAGTGTGTTTACTATTGTCAAAAACATGACGGACGTGTGTCAGAATTTGATGCAGAAATGAGACCAAGCATTCAAGAGTTAAAAATAAAACAATATTTAATTATCTTTACAATTTAATATTATTACAAAACTCTCGGAGCTCTATTTCCTTAACTAACCTATGAGCTGAGCCATTTTAACTCTCCCTCCAGGCCTGAACATGTACTGAGAGGACATCCAGGTTGTGCCATGTCCTCTGTCTCTCTGTCCCTGCTCAGACTGCTCACAACATGTCCTACCAACACTTTTATCAAAATGTCCGATGACGTCATATGGTGAGACCGACTGAGGCTCTGGTCTGGGTCTGGTCGAGTCCGGTTTTGGGTCTCATGCCTTGTGTCCCGATAAGAGAGACAGGCTTTTTATGCAAACATTTCATGATAAAATATAGAATTTCATATTTTCATAGATGTTGGTACATGGATGACAGAAAATAGTAATGTATTGACATGTGCTGTATTTAAATATACATCAATACACATTTATTTAGTGTGTAAATGAGTACATGTTGTTACTAAACTAAGTTGCTGAACTGCTATTCAAAAAGTGTTTGAACAGGTACATATGTTCTAACAACATTACCCATGTTGGCTCATTCACCTTCAAACCTCTTCCCTTCAGATTCACGTCCAATGTCGGCGCCATCCTCCCCATGATCCTCGTCCTGGCCTTCAATTACACCGTGTGCACGATCATCAAAAGCCTGGTGCTGGAGAAAGAGCTCCGCCTTAAGGAGATCCTCCGAGCCATGGGCATCCAAAATAGTCCCATCTGGATCTCTGTGTTTATCGAAAACTTTCTCCTCCTCTCAATACCCTGCGCACTCTTGAGTGTCATGCTGAAGGTCTGTCCATTCCGCCGAAAAAGAAAAACACTAAAACGCAAAGCAAGAAGTTTGTAAAACACACAAATAAATCATGTAAACCCATTTTTTGAACAAGAAAACAAGTGCCAGCACATTCACACAACCATCTGATCACATGGGTCCTTAAGTCAAAGGCTTCTTGCTTCTGCGTTTTGGTTTTTTCACTCCATGAAAATCATTGGATATAATTATTACCCATAATTCATTAAATCACATTTCTGGTGCCTAATTAAGTGTGCATCTTGCCAAAACTGCAATTAAATCAAATGAGAGTCTGGCCGAGCCACATGCAGCATTTATTTCTCGCTCTTGCTTCATGATTTCTCGTTCTGTATTTGTAAAAGAGAATGATCATTGTCCATGCATGTTCACCGTGAGGCTGAATGACGTCTTGTAATACTTTTTTATATCACATTGCATGTAGCAGTGTAAGGCGATCGTCCAAGAAAGAAGACAACAGGTACTTATTTAGAAAACCACATAGAATCAGAGAAGAAAACAACTACAGAACGAGAACAAAACAACAAATGAATAGTTACCATACCATATACGAGGGTCGACAAACAAACAACTGAAAATGTGTGTTATATTCTGGTTCTTCAAAGTAGCTCCTTTTGCTTTGATACTGCTTCACTCTTGGCATTCTCTGGATGAGCTTCAACAGGACCTGAAATGGTCTCCAACAGTCTTGAAGGAGTTCCCATGATGCTTAGCACTTGTTGGCCCCTTCACTCTGTGGTCCAGCCCCAAACCCATCTGGACTGGGTTCAGGTCCGGTGACTGTGGAGGTCATGTGGCCCAGCACCATCACTCTCCTTATTGGTCAAACAGCCCTTACACAGCCTGGTGTGGGTCTACAGCAATAGCCATGAAAAGAAAGGAAGCCAATTGAAGGAGAAAGTGTGTCTAAAACTTTTGGTCTGTACTGTACATTGGAGAAACAAGAAGAGCTTTCAACAACAGACACAATGAAGATAAGGAGGAATGCGAAAAAGATCCAACAGCACGACTAAGAAGATCAAAGGAAAAAGCAACACAGGAAAACCTCAAATCAGCGATATCTGACCACTGTAAAAGAGAACAAACTGTATAATGGACTGAGACAATGCAAAAATAGTGGGACCAGAAGAATGAAATAATCCTTTGAGGAGCTACTTTGAAGAAGGTCCGAGCCACAGATTGGAGACTCATGCTCTACATTAAAAAAGAGTGATCAGATCATTGATGTTACAAACCTGGTAAGATGTCTGATTGACCCATAGACTGTATATATTAACGGACGTAGTCAGGCCTATCTCCGCCGTTCTAACTAATGGGCCAAAAATTGGGCTTTCATGGAGTGATTCAAAATGGCCGCGGGGGCTGGAAAATGTGAAAAAACGCATCTGTGCATGAGTCAGCTGCACGAGTTCCATTCATTTAAACGAGTGACTTCTAAAGTCCACAGCGACTAAACTAGACTGGTCCAGAACACCCCCCTCAGCATTGACACACATGTGGAACGGAGCTTTGGGCCAAGAGCCAACTTGGACCATCCTGTAAAGACGTTTTCCAGAGGTAAGAAGATGCTATATGTTAGCATTGGCTAATTCTTATTCTGGGTCCACCCCCACAGGCCCGGGGTGGTATTGCAGCATGTCAGCGCACATCATTTTGGACACTTTTGAGCCGGGACCCGCCCACACTGGATTGACCTCGACCATATCGCAGCTATCAGTCATCACCCATATGTAAATTCTCACCAACATGTGTTTTTTTTTAATGCCAGCGCAGTCATTAGAGATCATTTCACTCGGCGCTAATCAATTTTCCTCTGTTTAATTGGAAAATAGTGGCGGTAAATAAAAAGTGATATTTGAACAGCTGGGCTAAACACAATCAGCCTAATGCGTTTGCTAGTCATCAACAATTTGTAAACATTAATAACAATAAATTGAGTTAGTGGAGTGCCTTGGAGGAGTGGTGCGAGTGCAGTGTCGGGGCCTGTTCTAAATTATAATTTCACAGGCTTTTTCTGAGCATTAATAATAATAGCAAATCAAATTGTGATTATCATAAGGCTGTGTCCGGATTAGGTGTGACAACAATCGGGTTTGTCATGTGCACCTGAGCCCTCTGCCACTTTACACTTGTTTCCCCTTCCATTATAGCCGAGGCACTGCATATTAATATCCTGGGGGCTGTAGTTTTGTTTAATGAAGGCTGGCTGTGAGGGGAAAAAGGATTATTTCTTGTCAGCCCAAACTGTCAAAACGTATGAGTGGAGACATGTGAGCTTTCAAACATTCAATTTATCATATCATCCTTGTCCCTTTATCACTCACTCACTATTGAAAAAAAAAAAACAGCGCTATTGAATGTGGTTATCCTCAAGGGTCAAGTTTGAGGAGGTCCACTGTCCACTGTCCATAGGCATGACTCATCTAACATTGCTCATCCAAAATGTTTCTGAACTTGCGTTGTTTTAGGAGCATTTCTAATTTATATTACGCATACATAATATTGCGTTCCTTTGTGTATATTGAAGGGGATGGAGCATTTAATTCTAAACTAGGGGACTGTGGGCCTAATCAGAAGCCTTAACTTTCTCCTGATCTGAATTATTAACGTCAATGAGTGTTCGTTGGCACTTTACGAAACATGTATAGCTCAAAATATGCCTTCACACAAAAAAAAAGCAAGAACCAGCCACATTATTACAGCATTTCCACATTTCATGAACACTAGTTTTTGGTCCGCAATTACTCAACACACAGTGACTTCTGTATGAAAACTAAAACTTATACAAACTATACAACGTACAATAAACATTTTTTCTCAACTCTGGTCCTTTGCGAGAAGCCTGGTATGTTCTGTAACTGTACCACATCCTTGCAGTAAAATAACAGGGATTATTTTTAGAATTTCTTGTGGAATTAAAAAGAATTTGGGTAAATAAACGAACGCGGATAAGCTCTTCAATTAAAGCCAGAGAAAACCCAGAAATGAAAAGCTGTTGCATAGAATTATCTGAAACCGAAACACATGGAGAAGACGAGGACACTCTGTACAATCAGTCTGTCTGCTGTTAATTAATGAAGTGCATCACATTTATAGCTTTCTGTCTCACGGCGCAGCTTAAGCCTTTTTTTAGATTGCGTCTTCTCAGATCACACAACTTTTTGGTACACGTTTTAATTGATCTGGAATTTGTTTAACGTCCTTTCTGCATGAATCCCTATCTCTAAAAATATGCATGATAAAACTGAGGTAAAGATTTTTTTTATCAATATTGCATTCTCACTTGTAAAGCCCGTTTCCACCAGCGCTACTTTGGAAAAAGCCTTGTGAGTCACTATTAGACACTTTAGGCTGAGTGAGGGTAGGACAGAGGCCAATATACATGTACATGCTTGTGAAAACTTGTGATAGATCCCAATTGTTTTAAGAATTAGTATAGAGAGGTTGGTGAACGTTTGGGCCTGTATCTGTGGGAATAATAATAATGCATCAAACTTATATAGCGCTTTTTTGGACACTCAAAGACGCTTTAAAAAACACATAGAAATAAACATGGAAAAACAAAATTAAGGAAAGGCTGAAACATATGGGTTTTGAGAAAAGATTTAAAGTTCTGTAGTGAGTCTGAGTTTGTGATTGATTGAGGGAGTGAGTTCCAGAGAGTGGGGGCGGCTGCAGCGAAGGCTCGGTCCCCCAAGGTTTGGTGTTCAGTCCTGATTGGAGTGAGGAGATTGGAGTCAGTGGAACTGACTGGCAGCGGGAGGGACAGTGATGATGGAGGAGGTCTGTGAGGAAAGAGGAGGCCAGGTTATGGATGGACTTGTAGGTGAGGAGGAGGACCTTGTATTGGAAGCGGTATGGAACAGGAAGCCAGTGGAGTTGTTTGAGGACAGGGGTGATGTGGTCTCTGGAGCAGGTGTGGGTGAGCAAGCGGGCGGCGGAGTTCTAACTCCGTAAGGCCCGTTTCCACCAGCCCTACTTTGGATTTTTCCAAAGTAGGGCTGGTGGGCCTTACGAACTTGTAGGTGAGGAGGTGGAGGACCTTGTATTGGATGCAGGAACAGGAAGCCAGTTGGGTTGTTTGAGGACGGGAGTGATGTGGTCTCTGGAGCGGGTGTGGGTGAGAAGGCGGGCGGCGGAGTTCTGGATGTATTGCAGTGGAAGGGAGACCGAAGAGGAGGCTGTTGCAGTCGTCCAGTCTGGAGGTGATGAAGGCATGAACCAGTATTTCAGCAGAGGGTCGAGAGAGGGAGGGGAGGAGGCGAGAGATGTTGCGGAGGTGGAAAAATTATGTTTTGGAGATGAGTGTCTAAATGAGACGGTGGAGTCCATAATAACGCCGAGGTTGCGTACAGAGGAGGAGGGAGTGACTGTGTGGCTGTCAATGTTGAGGGAGATGTTTTGAGCAGAGGAGTGACTTGGGTCCGGTGATGAGGAGTTCGATTTTATTGCTAGTTTCAGAAAATTGTGGTCTATCCAGAATTTGATGTCAGAGATGCAGTGTGTGATGGTGGAGAGGATGACTGGGGAGGGAGAGGATGGCTTGGTCCTATCTTGTCTCTTGCCATTGGTGTTAATGTGTGTGTGTGTGTTGCTGTTGTGTGTTTTGTTGAACGGTACTTTAAGGTTTTGATTCTTTTTTTTATTATGTTGTAGTATGTGTCTGTGCAAGGGGATTGGATTAATATTTGCTTTTTGCGTCATCCAATCTCTTTTCAAATCATGTACATCTTTTTCTCTGTGTGTAATCAGTTGTATATCTTGTGTATACATGTGAGTAATCTTTTTTTTAAATATATTTCACATTTTACAGACCAAGGTCACCCAAAGCACTTTAGAATGTTCAGAGTTTCATTCACTCCAGACACTGAAGCGATAGACTGAACACACTGGCCCCCAATCAACATCAACTCCATGCATTCTCTCACTCATTACATTCATGACACGAGGAGAACATGCAAACTCCATTCAGAAAGCCCTTGTTCTGACCGCGATTCAAACCCAGGACCTTTTTGCTGAGAAGCGAGAGTTCGATCAGTCACTGTGTCGCCCATGTTTGAAATAAATACAAAAATCAAGTCCCATCTTATGTCTTTTAAAAATTAGGTTGCGCAGCTTTAATGGCAGCGCGGTATAATTCGTGTGACTCTTGTTTCTTGACCATTTGTCCTTCAGGTTCCTCCGACGTCTCGCCACCGTCCTCCCACTGTTCCTGACCCTAGCTTGGATTTACTCGGTGGCCATGATAGTCAAGAGCATTGTGATTGAGAAGGAGGCGCGGCTAAAGGAGACTGTCAGAATCATGGGCCTGAAGAGCGCCATCTATTGGCTGAGCTGGGCAGTGTCATGCATTCTGCCCCTGGCTTTTAGCTCTTTTCTCCTTACTATGATCTTGAAGGTGATTTCACGATGATTCAGTTGATTTTAAGGAGCACCCGGTTTTACTTTGAGTGGCTGTTACTGTCTGAGGTCATGGGCCATTTGTCTGGATATTTTTTGCCACCATTTCAATCTGATGGTATAAAGGCAGTAGTTTTTTGATCACGGTAAAGGACAAAAGTACATAATTTGCTGCTATTATAAGTACTCTTTAGTGCTCTTTACAATTAGAGGCCCACAACAAACTACATAAAATATTCTAAACTAAATTGGAATTAAAAAATACAATTTGACAAACAAAATCCCAGAAATTCCTGACAATCCTTAATGCCTTAATTTTCCGTTCATGAACCATTTTTTCATTTTTGTTCAAAATGAAATGAATGCTATTAAAATGATACATTAGAAAAGATATCGGATACCAAGTTAACGTCTAAATGGATATTAACATATTAAAAGTAAAAGTAAAGCTGGGCTCTTTCTATAGATATGAATCGTGTCACAATCAAATTTCAATTACATGTTTTCTCCTGTTTATCCATATATGGGCATGTTCACATTGTTTTTCCCCTCCTCTCTGGTGCAGTATGGTCTGGTGCTGCAGTACAGTGACCCGTCCTTGATCTTCGTCTTCCTGTTGGTTTTCTGCCTGGCCACCATCACCCAGTGCTTCTTCATCAGCGTCTTCTTCTCCAAAGCAAACCTGGCTGCGGCGTGTGGAGGCCTCATATACTTCCTCCTGTACCTCCCGTACGTTCTTTGCTACACCTGGAGAGACGTCATGGGCTTTCCACTCAAGATAATAGCGGTGAGTCTATTTATAAACGGGTTTTTGTAAAGTTGTAAAGTGTATTTGTGAATATTCTCCCTTGATGAAGACTTGTTGGCCGAAACTTTAATTTTAACCTCTGCTGCTTGAGATCCATTAATTGAAACACACACTGTATAGCAGGGGTCTCCAACCTGTGATTCGGGAGCTACCAGTAGCTCGCCAGCCCCTTTCAGGTAGCTCGCCAAAGGATGCACAATGTAACAAATGACTGAATCCAGTTTGAGTCAGTACAAATCTATTATAAGTGACAAAAATAGTGTTATACAGTAAAAACAGTATATTTTACATGTGTTCACCTAGCCTGGTCGTACCACACCATAGTACAAATTACATTTCGTACTAAGGTCTGGGCGTGCTTCATTGAGCTCCGTTAACAGGTGGGAGGGGTTAACCATTGAAACCATTGGATATGAGTTTACTGTGACGTATGTAATGAGCCCAAGTCTGTCATTAGCATTTAGCATTTAGCCCGTGGGGATTAGCGCCACAATTTCTTCCAGCGATTACATAAGATAAGATTGCTTTATTTATCTCACAGAGGAGAAATGTACATGTCACATTTGGCATGGATAGAGACACTCAGATTGTGCAAAGGGAGGAAATGTGCAAACATGTTACATGCAGGATATATGTACAATAAAGTGACAGTGAGATTTGCTAAACATTCCTCTTGCTCCGGCTTCAATTTCTTGATAGAACCAGACCGGATTACTTTACTATCGCATTTTTCGCCATTGCCAAACTACAACCTGCCCGTTCGACGCAAACTCTTGACATCACCCACAACTAACTACAACACTTCCGCGCTCTCTGATTGGTCGGTCGAAATTCAACCGATTTGTAATCGCTAACACAGGGACCAGACCCAGACGTTACATGCAGTGAAATGATGATTGAGCGGAGGGTACGGGTGGATAAGGCCAGGGTAGTGTTCTCCATGTGTGTCGTTATTATTACATACATTTATCATGACTGCCAAATGGAATAGCTCTCTGCCTCTTCTGTTGTATAAAAGTAGCTCTCTGATTGGATAAGGTTGGAGACCCCTGCTCTATGGCTTTTGCTACATCCACCTCAACTGTTTTTATTTACTGCTTAACTCCAAATGGGCGCTGATTGGCCATTTCCTTCCAGCTTCTCTAGTCTGCATTTCTGCCAGACCTGACCTAGCAGCCGGAGTTAAATGAAACCGAGCGGAGGCATGAATTCTAAAATTAGTTTTATTTTTCAAATGACGCAACCCTTTTTTTCTTTCTTTATTTTTGTGTGACAGGTCTTATTGATATTTTTTTTTACAATAGAACATTGCAACATTATTATTCATTCTTTCAATTTTTTCTTTTGCCTCATTTTGAATAATCTACTTTCTTATTCAGCTGATTAGCAAGTGGGTTCATGAGCAGAGGCAAGGAAAGCCCCTAGGGCCCATTAACTCAGATACCAGCCGTTACTCAGTCAAGACAGATGCTTTAAAGAATATTTCAAGTAAATTAGTAGAAATATCACACTTGCAATTGTATATATACTTTAAAACTGTATAGGGAACATTGAAGGCAGAGCATGTCTCCATAGAAATCAGAAAGTGGCAGACCGGAAATGTCAATATTTAAATCAATTGTTTTACAGAGAAAATGGCCTGATATGTTTTGAGTGGCACACAGCACATGTGCGTAAAAGGACGCTTAAGCAGCCTGGGCTTTGGGGTTGTGTAGTCCCTTTAAAGGATAGAGATAAATAGTGTACCATTGCTCAACTCTCACAGCAGCCTTTCCGAGTGACCTTTAGAGCGGCGCTGCTATCATTTGTCCTCCGGCTGTCCTGTTCCGCAGACAAAGACACAAAATCTCCAATCTCTGTTGTTCTGTGTCCGACTGTTGCTATCCCAGAATTTCAATCGGCTCGCTTTCTTTTTTTTGTGTGGGCCGTAACAAGACTATCAGGTCAGGTAAAGTCATCGATTGTCAAAGTATGTTTGTACGGTGGAAAACGACCTCTCTCCAAACATGTTCTTGAATCGTCTTCAATGGACAGGATGTGTTATTTTCATTTTAAATTATACCTAGTCTATCTTCAATACGTGTCCTCAGATAATAAGTACATATTTGACCTTTTCGGAACAAACTAAAGAAACTACAGTGTACATGATGCCCATAATATTTATATATTTTGAGGCAGATCGTCAGAATCTGTCTCATTTTGGTTGCCAGTTGTAGCTGGTTTTGGCTCTTTTTTATTTGTTTTAAATTCACAAACAAAACGTTGCACAATATATATTTGTATGAAACCGGGTACAAAAATAAGTTGTCATACTGTACATAATACGCAGAGATTGTACTGTTTCTAGCTCAACTCCAGCAGGTGGTTTGCATCAGTAATCAGTGCTTTGGAGCTACATTTGTCACAGGCAGGATTCAGGCAAAAAATATTTAGCAGTGATTTTACTTACCTTTTTAGACCATTAATAGCACAGATAAATAGATACTTTCTTGATCCCCGTAGGAGGATTTCAGGTGTCCAGTAGTAGCAAAAATAACATTGATAATTCTAAAAAGATAACAATAGTAATAATCAGCAACAGCCCTGGTCACAGCAGCAGAGGTGGCATTCCTCCAGTGGATTTTTGGCTGATCCGCTTGCCCCTTTATGACCCATTATGACCCATTTAATGTTTGAAATCATACAGACCTATACATGCCTATCTTTCCTGATGCATTCTTTTTCTTCACCGTATGGCTTTATGACCAAATATCTTAATGGAGTCAAGCAGGTGATTTCAGCAGGTGATTTCAGCAGGTAACGTTAAATGCGAGATCTGCGGAGAGGCAAACACACGACAACAATAACAATGCAGGTTTTAGGGATTTTTCCGTATCCATTAAATAGTGCAAACTGTCATACTGTGGAAGATTTTAGACAAACAAATGACTTCTCCATAGAGGCAAGTTTCACTATCCACCTCCATATTCTTTATCCAACGGTTGATCAATACACACTGTCGACTATCTTGTTTACACACTTTAGAAATAGTATGATTTGGATTTGTGAAGCTAACTTTTTCTGAGCCGAATTTGCCTTTGAAAGTTCACTTAAAAATAAACCTCAATTTCATCCCTTTGCAGGTTTAAAGCATTTTACATCTAAAGCAGGCCAAACCTTATTTAATCTTTGGTGCCTCTGTTCGCTTCTCCCTGGGCACTTTTGGTTTTATTCTGCCGTTCCTGTTAGATGGGTAGCCCTCCAGCCTTCTAATTAGCATGAGCAATGTTCTTGTGACCAAACCACTACCCTCACCATCCCTCCTCTTTATCAGATGTAGTCAGGCAAAGATTTCTCCCTTTTTGTGCTATTCCTTGCAGCTAGTCTGACTATGTCTTGGGCATACACATCTACTCTTTCTCATTGCCCTTTGATAACGTCCCTAATCACCTCCAAATGACAAATAATCACACAATTTTGTACCAACACATTCTGCTGCCTTGACAATGACATCGCTATCAAAGTCTAACTGACAACTTCTTTTAGCACAAGCTCTAAGACTGTTTGTCATCTTGGAACTTAGAATTGAAGCCACACAGCGGTGTTTTCCAAAAGGAATTGTAAGATTCATTGACCTCATCACTTTTCTGAGATTGCTTTAGCTAAATTGGCGACATGTGACCCATGCTCCACACAGGGTTTTTGTCCGCTTCTTTGCTAAGTATTTGACAATTTCTTATGAATGGAAAAATATATATTACTGTGCAGAACTATGAATGACTGCTGATTGAACTTGAAATTGTGCTTGTCGTGATCAGCATCTTTTTATAGCGTCGTTTAGGGCTTTGCAATTTTGGCTAAATGTCTCATTGTAATATTTCTGACCAATTTTGCATATATTTTTTATACATCAAGATATCGCTATTTTCTCACCAAAAGATGGTTCACCTGTCATTATTTATTGACTCCATGTCTAGTGGTGATAAAATAGCACTCATCAGCCTCTCCAACAGCCACAGCAGACCCACTGTCATACCTGGTTTTCCCAGAGGCCTCCCATCACAGTATTAACCAGACCTTGCCCAATTTAGCTTGAACGGTCCGCTTGGATCAGGCTTTCACATACAGATGGGACCACAATGTGTAAAAATTCTGTTCAGAGTAAAAAAAAACAGAACGGTGTTAAAATCAGACCCAAGTTGTGCTCATTTATATAATTTATGTTAAATATGAGCTTTCGCAGTCGGAATATAATGCTTCCGCCTGACAACAAGACGGAAGATACTTGTTCCATTCACAAATCTCAAATATTGTCTTGCTTATACTTGGCCCCTTTTTTGTTTTTGTGATTAATTATGCAGCTCTACAGCGTCTTTAGTAAACTGCAAGCAGGCATTGTCCCTGTGTTGTTGTTGAGTGCAGTTTTTGAGCTTGATTCATTTTTCTCCAAATCCGAAGATGCCTGTTGTATCCGGCTGCCTTTCATCCAGAGGTCAAGGATGTGCGCCCCATTCTGCCTCCAAACGTCTGCCCACCTTTGCCGACTCTCTGCTGATTGCTTGATGCCAGAACTAAATAAAACGAAAAAGTTGTGGTTTGAGTAGAGCTCCTCCGTCACAGCTGGAATAGTAGTTGTAAGAGGAAGGGTTCTCTGAGGTCAAGGTTTGGGGAGTGATTGAGGTGGACTTAAAGCCGGGGTACCTAACTTTCAAATCAGAAACACTAGCATTACCAGCAACATAAAGGTGGAACTTGGACACTTAGAATATTGTTCACAAGTCACAATCAATCAATATATTTATTTCCAACATATGGTTTTCACATACGTCTACATAACAGACACAGAAAGACGTCACTAAGGGGTTGGATGACAAACTTTTATTATTCTAACCCCCTCTCAAACAAAAATATCCAATGGAATTAATAAATCACAAAACAATATACTGTAATATTCAGATTTTAATATTATTTAATTATTCATATTTAATATTAGTAATTCT